CATTCCTGACTGAAGATAGGTGCACTTTGATGGTAGTTCAATAGAAATTGGATGTTTTTAAATAAGTGCATGAGGATACAAACAACTCCATTAAAGATAAGTGTTCCGGCACTGTTCGTATCGATAAGTTACAGCGTTTGCGAATGTAGATCCTTTTAACGATTTGAATTCAGCAGTTCTGTGAAATTACGTACAATCGAAATAGTGCGGGTCATAGGCCTCTGTATCGCTTCGCTTCCATAAGTTCGTTTAAGGAAGCAACGAACTGGGAACGTCGGTTGAGATTCATAGTTGTAAGCAGCGTAAATAAACATTCAACACGGAGTTGCAGCAATCGCAGCGTTGCGTCGTTGGCTCTCTTTATCCTTGTCCTTCACGCTGCTCCCAACTCTAACATGGTCTCGCTTTGCCTTTTAATCACCTTAGGATACTTCATACGTGGCTGTAAATTCTTCTGGTCAGCTTTGTTTTTTTTCAGTGTCATGCCTCACCGGTTTCAAAATTAGTCTGTCGTATGTCAAACGAGCCGAAACAGGCAAATGCATGCAGCGAAGTTCCTGGTAATTTGCTCATTTTAGTGTGCAAGGGAAAAGCAGACTGAGCTACAATGTTCCCACTAGGCGGCACTTAGCGGCGAGTCAATGAATGTCAAGGCTCTTTTTTCACTCTGATTTTCAAGCCGGTGGAGGGAAAATCCCATCTATGTAAGCAGTTGCTACTACTCCAGCGTTAAACAAATTGCAGGCAAAACGTCAAGAAGCCTCGCATCTCCCGCTATTATATATGAGACTTGATTCACGCTTATATGTTTTATCTCAGAGGCTACAGAGTTGGAAGACACTTTAGTTAGAAAAAATGGGCCTTATTTTTTCTGTATATTGTGTCGAAAAATGCCATGAAGTGATAATAAATGGCAGCTGTTGCTTTCTAGCCCTGTTCATTTTCAGAAATCACCAGTTCCTATATTAAGGCTCGAGCGCGTAAATCAGGACACACGCGGTTAATCAATTGACCAACAGATTACAGTGTTCCGATTATTCGGGGTACTACTTAATCAACGACCAGTAGCAGTAGCTAGTTTAGTAGATTACGCAGTGGAGCCAGCATGAACTAACTGCGTAGTGGCCGGTTGTGGCGCAATCCAGTAACAAGTTTTAGCTAGACGTAATTCGAACACTTCTTTTAAAGAAGCTGACGTGTGGCGGAGAGTTGATGTTGTTCTGAGAACTGCCATAAAGTATAATCTCTAAGCTGCGCTAGTCGCAGCTGCTAAACGGTACAAACAAGTGCCGAGTTGAAAGTGCTACTTCCAGTAGATGGCTCACTTCACCGGGCCATCATATGACAGCTTGAAGAAGTTGAGGGCCATATTGCTTGATGGCCTTTACGTGCACTGTTACAACACACGACTACTCCCCTTCGAGAGCCGTTCACATGAAAACAATGAAACAATCTCGCCTTTAACACTTCGTGTTTTCAGGTGTAACATAACGGCGGCCACTCACCGCGGAGAAGAGTGATACTTGCTAAGAACGCTTGATTCACGTGGCAAAAGCAATAAGCATCGTATGTACTTATACAAAAATAATGGGGAACGACTATCTGGAGCGGAGGAAGCTTATGTATATAATGCAGCAGGGGCCAGAAAACACAACGTATACAAATAAGAGCTCGAAGAGGAAAGTGAGGAATACAGCCAATGAACATTTGAGAACCGATTATTTTTTTATTTCTATTTCTCTCTTTAATCCCATATTTCCCCAACCCAATACGGGTAGCGTTGTAATTACTGCAATCTGGTCAACTTAATTGCGTCCCTCTTTATTTTATATACCTAGGCTAGCTCTTTTTCATGCAAGGCCATGGTAGAGCGGAATCAAAGGCTCTGTCATTATGCGCTGAGATTATCAATAATGAGCAACTTACTTGTTATTTAAACATGAGTTATTTTCGGTGGGCCACATGTATATACCAAGCGTGACTGAACGTTTAAAAAATGACCAAACTTTCGCGAATAGAGAATTTAGGTTCGAAACGATTGCGAAATAAAAAAGTGATTTGGTTCAAATAATTTCTTATCAAATCAGAGTAATGTGTATCCAATATTATAAATTAAATTGGGCGCACTTGTCATTACCTGGCGTGTGAAAATATGTTTTAGGAACTGAAACAAAGCATATGCTAATGTCATTCTTTTTGGCTCAAAGAAAGTGCAGAAGTTTGAATAGTAACAGGACTTTGCTTTCAATAGAATGCAAGTGATAACCTGTAAAATATCTTACATTGTCAAATTTACTATGCTTAGAGCATATAAGCCGGAATAACAAGCTTTTAAACTGATGAAATGGGCATGGTAAATCGATGTGAGGTAAACAGGTTCAGTGAACTTTGAAGGGAGGCTTCGTGGCAGTGCGCATTTCTTTCTAGGGGCGAAGTTCCGAAAGCCGCGGATCTGTGCCTCTTGAGCTCCTACGTGACTGCCTAGTTCGATGACTCACTCAGCAGGTGCGGAATGAATAAAACTCCCCGAATAAGAGCCTCCGAAGCTTCACCCCACTCATCATCATTTACTCCGTGGATATGTTGTGACTTTTTATTTGCTTTTTTTTGCTTTTAAAAGATGTTTTCACGGCATATCACTCGTCTATTTCAGTGAATATTTTTTACAGATGGTTACATGCTGATTAATATGCACTTGAATAAATGCCTTCACGCTTCAGAACGCCATTACTACGTGAAAGAACCTTTACAGAAAAAACAACAACACGTGGACTGATATAAATCTACCCGTTCATTTCGAATATTTAGAAATTTTCAATAATCTGAACTCAAATCGGAGCGATTTGAAATACTGTGCCAGTAGTTTGAATATTTAAAGCAGTCGAATACGCACCCAAGCCTACAAATTACATATTAAAGCGTTATATATAGTACCAATCATGCGGAATGTTGACCAGTAGTGCATGCTTACTCCCGACGCAGTCGCTCCCTGTTCATATTGGCATCTCTGCCAAATACTTTGAATCGGTTAATAATCGCGCTTATTTGACTCAAGTAAGTGCTTCTTGTCACTTCGCCAGGGCTAAAAAGGTAGAAGTGGAAGGCTGGCACAGGACATCAAGTAACGATGTAATTCAAAAAGACCTTCAAAAAGAGTGCCGAACTAGCAACTGTTTATTGCCAGCAAGGCTGCAAATAAAGAAAGCTTCTGCGCATGCGCAGTGGCATGAAAGTGTGCCGACAACATGTCAATACAAAAGTTGCTGATTAAAGAAGGATACCGCAGATTACTATAATAAAATTGAAGCATCACTAACACAGGCGGGCCCATTCATTAGAATATGAAATGTTTCTCAAAGTTCTCGCACCGTTCGGTCCCTGCTCTGCTCTCTCTTTCCTCTGCCCTTTTCATGTTTTTGGCTTTGCTCCAGAATCAATATGTTCAACAAACGGAGTAATTATCGTCGATCAATACGCCACCCCGGGAACTAAAATTGCTTCACAGGGATGCTGGACTATGTGATGGACATCGCCATTCAGCACCTGAGTACCAGACTACGCACGCAATGTGAGGTCCTTAGTTGCAGTGCATAGCTTAAGCGAAATGGCATTTATGTTTCATAACGAAACTTTGGTGAAAACATGGCCTCATCTTTTTTTAATTAGCTTATCTGGGTGCAAAACTTTTGCTTGGTTATCAATTTACCTTCATTTTTTTCTGACTACGGGAAACGTTAGCTTAATATTTCTTTTAGACGGCATAGTTTTGTTTTTTAACAAGCTGACCAATTGAACGGTCCACTACACCAATACGTTACGCATACATTAGTATACCTTACAACAACAACAAAAAAACTACCCTTCAGAGATTTCTCCAAACTTTCTAGAAAACTATACAATCTCTACAACAGTCCAGGTGGAACGTATTCTGAGGGCGCCCTGTTGTTGTGGGACCTGTCAAAAAGGTAAAGGTGAAGAAAGCTATGAACAGTACCCACCCTGATTTCCCCCAAGCGCGGGAAATATATCGCGAAAAGTCTGAACACGCATGAACGCACTTCGCGTGAATGCTTTCAAGCAGGAGACTTGCGCAGTATTTCTACCGCAGTAATGATAATCGGTTGAAGTGCAGAAAGGAGAAACATGTTATAGCGCAAGATACGTGGGCACGAGAATATTTATGGGTCAAGAATGCAGCTCAGGAACTTCTAACTCAAGTCCAAAGTGGGACACCAGGTGGTAACATACAGCGTTACGAACAGGCAGAGTTGCAGAGGAACTTACGTTCATTGGTCTTATCACCTTTATTAAGCACTATTTGCGAATAAGGCCACAGCACTGTGCGAGTAATGGTAGGAACTCTTCGCAAAATAGGCATACTTTCGATACCGACGCATGCTGACGAGAAAGTCGAATGTAGCAAGGGCGGAATGAGAATGCCCATAGACCAGGAAAAGTAATGGCCTCGCTTTAAGGTACACCGAATGGCAGTGGTTTCAGAGGAATTAACAAGTACAATGATGATGTCTCTATCTATGCGATATGACCATACAGTATATCGGTGACGACTGTAGTACTCACTGTAAGGTGAAAACATTTTCATAACAACGCAAATGTAGCCCGAAAAGACACGGACAAGAAAGGGTACACCATGTCAGTGTCTTTTCGTGCTACATGTACGTGTGTTATGGATCTGTACATACTCGCTCGCCTCTCTGTTTTGAAAACATTTTGTCGCGCTGTTGGCCGGAGGGTGGCAACTGGACGTCGTCCCGAAAACAGTGTTAGATGCGAAATAGGTCAGCAATAACTCGGCAAGCTTGTTTGGGGGAAATGTTTGGCCACGGTTACATCTGACGACTCGCTGGTCACACTGGCGGCTGCTTATCACTCATGCTGATGTATACTTGCATGACGGTGTACAGTCATGGACGGTGGAAGTTCTTTTTGTGTCCAGACGTAAAACATCCGGTGTCGGCGGTCGAATTGTTGTGGACAAGTTTTTCATCTGTACCGCATTGTAGGCAGCCGCTTTATTCCAAAACCTTCCCGGGAGAAAAAGAGCACGCACTAAATGGTGATGACATCCACAAGCGAAAATGAAGGCTGTAGTGAAACGAACGTAAAAGGTGGAAGTAACAGTGAACATCGTTCTTTAAAATTGTGTAATGAATGTCTAAAGATTCCTCCAGAAAGATTGCTACACTGTCTACATCACGAAAGCAATGAAAAAAAATGTCTATAATTTCTTCCGGCTGCACTTAACCCAACGTTTATCTTGGGAGGAGTATTTCTGCAACAGCCTGTGGGGCCGAGACTACCAGCCCTGCAAAGCCAATGCGCACTGACAATGCCATATTTTGTCAGAAGAGGGGAAATAATCGCACCTGTTTGCTGAGTATATAAAAAAAGCAGGCCGGACGCACAGAGTAAGGTACGCTGTGCAATTAGCAACATTTCTTTGTGTGAACGTGTGATCTGCCTTAAACTGGAACACAAACATCCCAAATTTCTGCAGCCTAAGCGACTGGGGAAGCAAAGGTTTATCTTGCATGTCAACTGATCGTATACCGGAAATCCGGATACTGATGACCAACCTGCCAAAGGTATTGCGATGCCATCAACGCTGAAACAATATCTTCCATAGTATCTGGGATGCATGTATTTTAGATATTGCCCTTTTATACAACTATGCTTTACAAAACCTGTGGTCGTTTTGCAACTTCATTTCGCAAAAAGAACTACGGCGCACTTCCATTTTATTGGGAAACCACCTCCTCTAAATATCAAATAACTGAAAGCTTTCGGAACACAGTTGGGGGGTGGGCAAATTAAAATTTAAAAGCCTTCAAAAAATCACACTGTTTGCGCAACGCTGCCGACACCCATTTGTTATGTAGAATAGCAGCAATCCTTGTGTCGTGAATGTTGTAGCCTATTCCCGTAAGAAACCTAAATCACCCTTGATGCCACAGCGAACTGCTTTGACAAAATAAGAGCAAAATGAATGTGCAGATGGTCGGGCTTCACCGTCTGCCATGGTTCACGACCCACCCGTTTGGATTCGTTTTCTTGCTCTTCGCACGCCTTTATTCTGCTGCTCGCGTGATTGCCGACAAAAGTACGCTAGGCCACCGAGATAAATCATTCGTGTTACGGAAGAGGCAAGCCGAATCGGATGCATACAGACGCACAACCGTGAGCGCATCTCCGTCAACGGGATGCTTTGATCCGAGAATTTATGTTCAAAGCAAGTGCGATAGAGCATCATGTAGAAGCATCGCCATGGATGTATACGGCACACTACTCATCTATAAGACAAGTACAGGCGCTCTATTGATGACAGCACTTCATTGAACTTCACGTGTCAGCAGTTTGTCTCGCTAACATATGGCTCGTGTAGCTATCTCATCCCCTCTGGGCCTAGCACGATTTGCGAGTTTCTCAAACTAAGTTACGTTCTAAATCCTTACATTGAACTTCGTTTAGGGCAGAATCTGGGTCACTCACCTATATATTGAAATTTACCATAGGGTAGGTTACTTTCCTGTACTTGTCATGGGCGAACAGGCATAAGATAAGAATTTGAGAATAAATTATTGCTATTTTGAAATCTTGTATGTAAAGTGAACGCAGAAATGCAGTTTTCAATTTCAAATGAGTGAAATCCTGCATCTCTTCAATCAAACTGAGCCACACCCATTAAACCAGCGCTGCATCAACAATCGTGACCAAAACAACCTACACGGCCGCATTCAATATGTTTGTTGCCTAGTTGCTTTGCTATCAAGATTTCGTTTCACTACTATACAACCTTGTTGGGCAAAACTCAATTAGAAGGAGTAAGAGGGTTCCTTGCCTACTCCATTTTTACATTTTAGTGAGGTTTTTGTGTTTTACGCTATAATTACGCTTTTCTTTCACTCCAAGACGGTCTATTTGAAAAAGAAGACAACTTGCAGGAAGATATTGGGCACCGATATATTCCTTGAAGCGGAAGCAATGCGAAACGGAGCGACACAAAACAAGCTAAAAGAAAGAAGAGCTGAAGCACCTTTTAAAAGCTTTCGATAGACGCCAAGAACAACAAAACACGGCCGCTAGTCCAGATTCGTGCGCTTTTTACATGGCAGAGCCACTCGGTCGGCCAATAGAGTCATCGTCATTACACCCGTACAACAAAGGACGACCCCAGTGGAAGTAAAAGACGCAAAATATTTCTATATCGCTCATTCGCTGCTGTGATTTAGACTTCTTCTGGGGCGAACTAAAGACGAAATGAAATGTTCCAATCTATAAAAGCCACAGCCAAGTTTTACTCCTGCGACGATACTGGGCTGTATGTATTTTAGCCGCAATATAAATTTGGGGTATTTCGGGGACATGAGCCCGATAGTGAAAACTTGTTGGAGCAGCCCCGGTCATACTGTGTGTTTTTCTGAGTTCCAGTTGAAGATACTCGCCTCTTTTAGAATAAAGAAACGCCACAAATATTTTAAGTGAAGCCTTTAACAGATGTTAACATAATTCAGATAACAATCAAGGAAATAATCTAGCTGACGTACCACAGTCTAAGCAGTCTTGAGAAAACCACATAGCAATCTTAACCAAGGCAGGATTGAACGCACGTTTCACGAAGCCTGTAACAAAATGGAGTGGTTCAGTCAAAGGAAGCCATATTCATTCATTCATTTATTCATTCATTCATTCATTCATTCATGCATTCATTCATTCATTCATTTATTCATTCATCCGCATTGTCTTTCCAGACAATATATTTGTATAGGTATACACAGAGTGTACCCCAACTATATTGAGCCCGAGTTTAAAGATATGTCGGCGCACTCTATGACAACGTGATCAAATGTATGTTACTATTGCGTGGAGCAATTCCCACATTTTCGCTGACTTTTCCAGTTAATTACCTAGTTAGTACGATTAATTAACTAACTATTGAAACAACGAAGCCTAAGAATTTCATATAAAAATGTTAGATTGGTTTGGAGAACGTCCAGTCATGTAGCTTTTAATTTTATGTTTTTTAATTGTTAGAGCTTTCCTGCGACTGATGCCCGCGAAATACGGAAAAATTATCACGTGATATGCACCCTCACGTGCCTAGGAACGCCGTGACTGCAGTGCTCCTTAGCGTACTGTGTACAAACAATGTGCTTCCTTCGCGACAGTTCATGTCAGCGCTGAGCAAACACAGCAGTTATTGCATGTGGTGCCGCTAGCAAAACGTGCATCATCCCTCAGCCACCGCCATCGTCGCTTTCCTGTCGGTGAAGGCCAAGTGCTAAAGTCATTTGCACGCGTTACGTTAGGAAGCACTGCAATCTCGCCACACACAGCGGAGATGTCACATAGTATTGTCTTTATTTCGCGGTCATCAGTAATATTCAAAAACAAAAAAACACTAATACTTCATAGATATAAACTTTGAAAACTATCTCATAAAACATTTTGAAAACTCATCTGCAACTTTCTCATTGAAGTTTGCACCCAGTTTTGTTGCTTCAGAAGTAAGGTAAATAAAAATGGCTAATAACGCAATGAATAACTACAAAACATATATTGTGACGCACTACAGGCAATAGTTTGCAACATGCATTTGGCTGCGTCGTTGTAGAGTGCGTCTGCATATCTCTAAAAGATTTGGCTAAATATAGCTGGGTGAACGTGTATAACTTCAATAAACAATAGATATGCACTGTGTTTTTATATGAATACCAGCCTACGCGCATGGCAACTAAACACCCTGCAAATATTTGTGTTCTTGCTGGTACCTTAAAAAGACTAAACAGTAATCACTCCTCGAAAAGGGTCTATACAGCACAATTGGATAGCCGTACTCTCGATGAAAAGCGACACATGCCATCGTGGTGGTGTTTACAGCAGTTCTGACAGAGTACCAAATACGATTGTTTCTTTTGACTCGACGCACATTGTGCGTTCCAGGGGCATGGCTTCACCACTGCGCGACATCTGGTGACAGTTACCGCTGACGCCAATTAGCGACCTGCAATCGACACGAACACAACAACTAGGGCCCGCGGAGTTACCATGTTTCCGGAAACGTCTCTGCCAGTTGCAATTAGCCGATCGGGACGGCTCGGCCATTACCACCGCCCGCGCCAAAGTGCAGCAGCGATGCTTGTTACAGAAAGGCTGCGGAGGCAGGCAGGGACAGAAAGCTGCCGCTGCAAAGGCAAGCTGGGGTTCCACCATTAATCCGCGAGGATCGCCTCGGCCCCAAAATCAGCAAAAAGAGCAAACCGTTTTGCTTCGGGTCGGTAAAACAAAAAAAAAAGAACTTACAATAGTGACCTGCGCATAAGACAAACATGTTTGAGACATCCCTTTCGGGGAGGCGCCTTACAACTCACGAACACTGTTTACAACAATATACCTTAGATTTTCAACCAAACTGACAAGCAAGATTAGGTTGTGAGTAATTATGCTGCCTTGAAGAGCCATCATTCCATCTTGTTTACAACCTAGTGTAACTAGGATAAAAATTGACATATGGAAAGGTATGAAAAAGTATACTTGCCGACCGTACCCCGGAACCACAAGGAAAGCACGTAACATTACGCTTTCAATTACTTTATGAAGTATTTTCTCCGCCGTAGCCGTATAAGCGGTCTCTTAAATGAATAATACGCCTGGCACATGACGTTGATAAGATTTCACCATAATTTGTGGTTCCAATATTACTTCTCGGTGTTATGCTAGGACTTGCATGTTTTTTGTTGATCGAACGTTCAACTAGCGTTTGGCTACAGCTCCGACAAGTGTTTGCAATATTTGTAATGGGGAAATAACTATTCATTCAAAAACTCATTTGCCATTGTCCCCAACGTGAAGACTCATTTGACACACAATAGACGTTGTTGAAGCTGCTGTTCAAACAGTAAAGAAAGCACGAAACCATTATCACCAAGACAGGAAGCGTGGTTCTTAAACATTCATAACATAAATGATAGCGAGAGAGCATTCGTCCCCTGTCTGTGCTCAGCGCTTGTGACTTCGCATTTCGCGCCACCTAATCGAGTGCGAAAGCAAGCCCTACACTTATTAGGGAGGGATACTATAGGCAACTTGGTGTTATATCGTCAGGTGAAGTGGGCTTTGCAATCCCCTTCACTTATTTCGTAAGAAGCGGTTTTCGTCAACATGCATCTATCCGATATGCTTAACGTCTCTTCAAAGCAATTTACTGAACATACGAGCGATTTATGTGGCGTCGTGCTACCAAAAATCTGCAGAGATTTACTACTGATGTGAATCCAATTCAAGTGCGATTGTCATTTCTGTATACTGTTATTTGCCACCGTAAAAAATGTTTCAATATTCGTGTCAATGAGATATACAGCCACAGCACTATTGTTGAAATTAGAGCACCATTCCAATCAACTTTTCAACTGTACATAAAATAAATCACTAGCTGTTTTACAGTGGCCCTCAGTAGCTAATATGCGTCGATATCTTTACAAGATCTGATAGCACTCGCATTACATTCAACATTCAAAATATTTGTATTAGTTATGGTGACAGCAAATATTTATGTTGCGGGACTTTTTTGCCACTCCCCCACTCCACAAATGTGGAAACGTTACTAAAAACTTGCCACGCAAGCTAGAAACAGCATGTTGTTTGTTTGGTTGACCACCCCGTACAATTTATGTGTTTAAGTCATGAAATTTGTACCTCCGCCTACGGCACCGTTAAACTTGTGCATTAGCTTACAGCCAAAATAAACTGCTAAACCACAGCTCAATTGAACACAAAACACGTAGTCATTCACGTTAGTAACATTCTCGCACAATTTTCTTTGTCACCTCCCTTTATTTATATTTGTTTCACTTTTGAGAGGAATCCAAGTATGGCAGTGAAGCATTCAAAAAAAACTTCGAAAAAGGAGAAAGGCACACTGTCATTCGCATACATTTCTACAACAACACTTCCGCCTATACTTTTGAAACAAGTTGATGTTTATTGGAATTGGTATGCGTTCCTGAAAATGCATCTCCCGGCGGGTTCTTCTTTGCGTAAACGCATGACTGCATGAATAACTCCACTGTGCGGCTTTCCCAATCGATGTCGTGATCATGCCCTGTCCGGCTCCCATGGGGGAAAAGGCCGAAGAGGCCAAATGAATTTGCGACCATTTGCTCAGCCTAGTCCTGCGGGACGACTTGGGACAGCGGGAAATGGCAGGAAGAGGAAATGCCACCCCGCGAGTAAGTACGCAACTCCTCTCATTTTCATGCAGCGTTGCAGCACTCCTAAAGTTATCTCCTGCTACAAGGAGAGCTACTTGTGTCGGTAAAAAAAGTTTGTTTTCTTTGTTTCAGCCTCAATCTTTTGAAAAAAACAAACAAAAGAAAACGATAGATCTACTCAGAAAACCACTACGACAAAGGTTAGACAGCAGCGCTTTGATGCATGGTACCGGAAGCAACAGAATGAAGGACAAAATTCAGAGTAGATGAGATGCAACATAAGTGGCCTGAGCACACATAAAGTTGCTAATAATCGATGATCTACGCCCCGTATGACCACTGGAATATTGAAAAAGCACATGCTACCACATCAGTCAGCTGATTCACAAGTATAGTCAAGAGGAGTATTGCCAATGTGTATTAAGGACGATAGTCTTTCTTGGGGACCTTTTACGGAAAAAATTTGGTCTGTCTGTCTGTACATTTGTCTGTTTGCCTGCCCTAACGATACCTCAAGTGGCACCAAACAGCCAACCCCATCTGCAGCGCCCACCAAAATTGCTCAAAGTTTAACGTTCATAGTTGTGCGATTGTCGATTAAAAAACAATTATTGCGCATATTTGAGGCGCCACAACAACGCTTTGATGTTTTCTATGTCTGCCTTTATACTAGAAGAGGCACACACAAGTAACTCTAAGGAATGTAGAGTTTAATCGCGCTGCGCTGACAGTGCAACGCGATGCTTGAAAAAGAGTTTCCAATGCTTTGCTACGATGTCACGGTGGTGGCACCTGCCCACCGCTTTGCGTTCTACACCTTATCACCTCCGAGACTGGCGCGCATCTTTCTCCGCGCGCTGCACGCCTTAGTTTTCGAAGATAACTGCAAGATGGCGCTTGTGTCTAACGTGCCTAGATGCGCTCGTTTGCCTCCAACGCACGCTCGAGGCACTCTAACGCAGCGCCTGCAGAATACCATTCACCAATTTTCTTGCACAGAACATTAAATAAACGTTTTGTTCACTCTCTCCAGACGCAAGACTATCGTCTTTCGACGACATTTACAGTGTAACATGTAGATTCAGGCCTTTTTTTTTTCTTGACCTTTTTACTAAGAGATCAATCGGAAAGGAGAGGGCAATATTTAAGTTGTGAGTGGGGCTTTTGCGGACAAGTGTTCACTAAAGAAACGTGGTTTAGAGAGTAAGACTCAGAACGCCGCAAATGAGCAGACCCAACACATATGGAATATAGCGGTAGTGTCCTATCTGCACAGAATGGCACATGGCGTTAAGAAAATATAGCTTCACGTGTGGCAACGAGAGTCGTCTTTGCAATGCCAGGCGAACCTGACAAGATATGTCAGTTGTCGAACCCGAGTGGTATATAAGCCTGCAAATGCATGCTGCAAA